TCCCATCCCTGTAATCCCTCCATTCCTGACATTTTTTTGTTAGTCTAGGAAAGGAGTCAGAAAACTACCTCCCATGGACCTTATTTGATCTGCAGCCTCTTTTTGTACAGCCAGGAAACAAAGAATGAGTTTCCATTTTTAATGTTTTGATTTCAAAAAATGAAGAACATGTACCAAAGATCATATGTGTCTTATAATATTTACTATTTAGCCCTTAGACTCTAGGTTATGGCATACTTACTTATGCTAAAAATATATATCTTAAAAAGAGAGTGTAAATTTCAGTAAATGAGAAAGCAAATTGCTTTTACTGACTCAGAAGAGTAAATACAAACTTTATTTTCCAGTATAATTTATTCAGTACTTGATAACCTTCGAGTAGGACTAGTTACTGTGGCATATCACTGAGTAAGACACAGGCAAATTGCAATAAACTTAAATTCACACATTTAGTGATGACACAAAGGTAAACAGAGTGTGATCGAGCAGCCAAACAAGAGAGGCATCTAACCCAGACAAGAAAATTTTAGGAAACATTTTCAGGAGAGATTACAGCAAAGTCACAAAATGAAAGGCATATCAATATTAGCCTAGTGAAGGTAAGGGTAGAGTGTGCAGTCACTGTTGGACTGAGTTATACCCAGACACAGACTGCACTCTCATCTGCAGACATGTTGTTTTCGATTATGGAAAGCTAATATCCTCTTATGGCAGAAAAATTCTGAAGAACTGTTTCATGTATAAACATTCCTTTCTAATAATTAACATCATCATCTTACAAGTACAATTCTCAACGGTCAAAAAGTCCAGACATTTCAGGTCTCATTAATAGATGTTATGATATTGACTTTTAGATAGGGATAGATTCCATGCAATTCAGGTATTTCTAATTAAAACTAATCTATAAATCTTACTATAGACATTAAGTTCAAATGATATTCTGTTATTTTTCAATAGAATAAAACTGACACCACCACAAAAAATAGGGTGAAAGAAGCACTGATGATCAGAGGAGTGTTAAGTACTAGACAAATTATCCATGTGAACCTCTGCCAAACACACTGCCTGGCACAGAGAAAGTGCACAAGACTGTGGTTGCATTGTTTTCTTTCTTTTTTATTTTGTTAAAATAAATTATTTTATTTTAGTTATGGAAATTTATTTTAGTTATGGAAAAAGTTTATATTTAGAGATTTGAAAGGTAGCACAGATAGCTAACCCCTAATCTCAGCATTTTACATAATCATAGTATGATTATTAAAACTAATGGACTAACGCTAATACAATACTGACAGCTAAAGCATAGACTATTTGGATTTCCCCAATTTTCCACTAATGTCCGTTTTCTACTTCAGGAATATAATTCAGGATACTACACTACATGTGGTTATCCTGTCTCCTGTGTCCCTTCCAACCTGTGACTTATCCTCATGCTGTTTTTGTCTTTCATGGCCTTACCACTTTTCTAGGGTACTGGTAAGATATATGGGGCTTGTCTGAAGTTTTCTCATGATGAGATTTAAGTAACAGATTTGGGGGAAATGATATCACAGAGATGACATGCCCTTGTCTTCACAACATATGAGTCTACATGATGTTAATATGTCCTATTCCTACCTACGTAAATTGGATAAGTTAGTCAAGCTGGTGTCTTTCAAATTTCTTCATTGGCTATTCAATACTTTTCCAATTTAATACTTTATTAATCAGAAGACAATTACTAAATCTAGCCCACATTCAGGGAGGGGAATTCAGTTTCACCTCCTGGAAGAAGGAATATAAATAATTTATAGACATATTCCACAATGATTAATAAATTGAGGAGAAGATACTTAACAGATGTGCAAATTTTTTTTTCTTTTTTTCTTTTTTTTTTTTTTGGAAACAGTCTTACTCTATCGGTGGCATCATAGCTTAGACCAACCTCAAACTCTTGGGTTTAAGAGATACTCTTGCCTCAACCTCCCAAGTAACTGGGACTACAGGCACCTGTCACAACACCTGAATAGTTTTTTCTGTTTTTTTAGTAGAGACAAGGTCTCACACTTGCTCAGGCTGGTCTGGAACTCCTGAGCTCAGGTGATCTAACCACCACAGCCTCCCAGAGTGCTGGGATTATGGGGGGCGGGGGAGTCACTGAATCCAGCTGATACTAATTTTTTGCATCCAGCAAAGGTCCCCACCCACCCATGGTGTTCTGAGGTGCTTTTCTATTTCCCTCATCCTTTCTATGTTTGTTAATCTACCTTCTTCTCTAGGAAAGAATTATACCTTCTCCACAAATTTAATTTATTTGGTCATTTATTTTTATATTATTATTATGAAATCAATGGTAATTATTTTATTTATTCATACATCAACACTGCAGCCAGTGAGGCAAATACATCTTGCAGACTGTTTGAAATAACTCACAATGATGAATTTCTTTCACACAGTAAAGATAAGAAGAAAGAAGAGGAGGAAAAGGGAAGGGAGAAAGAGGAGAAGAGGAAGACTTAGGAGAAACACAGACTTTATATGGTCTGTAAGGCATAAAACATTTACTATCTGGATTTTTTTCAGAGAAAGTTTGCCAATTTCTGGGCTTCGAGCAAATGAGGTTATTATATATATGGTGTTGCTCAAATTTTTCCAAATTTGGATATTGGGAGTCCTTTCAGATTTGTTAGTGTATTCTTGTCACATGCTATCAATTTTTTTGTGTTTATTTAGTATCTATTTTTTTTATTCAGTAGCCCTTATCTTTCAAATTTTCTCTCTTTTGCTTTAGAATCAACCTATCTCTAAAGATGCCCAGATAACATGTTTAAAAATCAAGAATTAGGTATTATGTGTGCTTGCTAATATGGGGAAGATACATACTCATAAATGCGCAGATGCTTTTATTTCAATATCTATTTGTATACATACTAAAATTTTACTGGGATCATTTTAGCATTCCTCCTTTCCTTTTTTCCTTGTTTTCAATAGGAAGCACAGGAAGGGCTATATAGAAATTAAACATGTTGATTCATAGATATTTATGGGACTTAGATATAGAGATGCTTAGTAGTCTAAAAAGTATGTATTAAAATCTCAGATTGGAAATTATGTCTGGAAATAGCTATTCCTGATTGATAAACCCTTAGATAGTCATAGAATTCATACAAAATATTAGAAACCATGTATATAAGCAGAGAGAAGAGACTCTTTGAGATCTTTCTGGATCAACAAAAGTATAGAAATGAAAGAGACAGGAAAGCCATGTGTTATCAAAAAATATAACTGTTAATCTGATAAAATAATTACTTTGATAGAGTAAATAATAGAGGTATTAATCCCCCAATAATAGAGGAATAATCCCATTATTTCTACTATTCTAAAAATCTAGAATTAGAAAAGAGTGGTCATAAAGGAAGTTTCCTTATTCATATCCTTGCTGCTTTTAGTGTTAATAAATAGCAAAAGACAAATTAATTGGGATCTATTGAAAAATGGATTACACCAAAGAAAATGAACTACTTCTCTGTACAGTAATGCAAACACATATCTGGAACAATATTTTGAACAATTTAACTCATATAAAAATTGTAATTGTTTAAAGATACATACATAGAAACCCATAAAAATAGAAATTATTTTTAAAAATCAGGATCTGGAACAACTCAAAGGAGCAGGAAGAAAGTCATGGTCACTGGTAAGCAAACAGGAGCTTCTGGGCTTCAGGCTGTGATTGATAATTATGTAGCTATTTCCTTAATAAGGTTATAGAAACTGTACAGATATGTGTATCCACTCTCTAGATCACAGTATCTTACAAACATTTTTTAAAATGAGAATAGAGAAAAGAAACTAATATCAGAGTTGTCTGCACATAGATAAATACTTAATGGTTCAATAGATTGTAAGTGGTTATAAAAATTAAGTTATTAAAAATCCAATGCATCAGTAAGACCAATTAAAAAGAGGGTGTTGTGTGGGTTTTATGGGAAAGGACATGGTTAGTAAGAGAAGGCTCAATAGAATATGTGTGGAAAGACTTGGTTATCATGGATTGAGGACCACATGATTGGTGAGAGGTAAGAGAACTGTCAGTGTAGATGAAATGACCCAAAGAGAATAAGTGAAATTTGGCAATGACCTATAACATGTATTTATTGTTTTAGTTTGGTTGTAATTAGAGTGAACTTGATCATCTTACCAGTCTTACCTAAAAATAATGGAAGCATAAATAATCAAGATAATATTCATCAACATTCTTTGGTTTTTATCCAATGTTTTCTTTTATATAAAACTGCAGTGTATAAATTGTTTATATTCTATACATCAAAACACCACATTCTATGTCAAAGCAAATTTAGAACAAAAGTCAGTTATTGGGGTAGAAATTTAGAGATAAAAAGCAGAATTTGAGAGTAATGTTTTTATTTAAATAACTCTTCTCTGATACCAAAAGTAAAATAGGCACCTAGTCATAACAGTGAAAGAGAACATTCCAGTCTTATACACATGGTCTTCAGACTGTCTAACTATCAAATTTCTTATAGCTATTTATTTCCATTTAACAGGATACAACATGCCAAGCCGAGTCTTTGGATTCAACCTGTGGATGGGGAAAAATTATATGAAACAAAAGGATCTTATAACACTCGAAAATATACCATCACACAAGTGGTCTTTTATAATCCTATAGTTTAATCTATTTCAGAGAAAAAATATGACAAAGAAAATAATGGGAAAAAAAAGATGTGACAAAGTACAAGAGGCTATAAAAGTACAAAACTGTAGTAGAGTTAATATTTAAAGAAAACATTCTCTTAACAAGATGCATGATGCACATCAATAGAGCTGAGACTGCCAGAGTTTTGACAAAAGTCCTGATTAAGTTAAAGAAGAAAATGACAATTGTTTGCAGTGATTGGGTTTTCTATGAGATTGTGAAATGTCTATGAGATTTCACACAGATGTCAGTTCACTGTCATTTGTGTTTTTGAAGAGATTAATAGAAGTATAAGTCAGCAATGAGAAATCAGACATCATTAACTACATTTATACTTTTGGGACTTTCAGATAATCCTGAAATGCAGACTCTGATTTTTATATATCTGTTTGTTAGCTACATATTGAGCATGACTGGGAACCTGCTTATCATTATACTGACTTTCCTGGACTCCCACCTTAAAACTGCCATGTACTTTTTCCTCAAAAACTTCTCCTTTTTAGAGACTTTATTCACCACAGTCTGTATTCCCAGATTCCTATATAGCTTGTCAACTGGGGACAAGACTATTTCCTATAATGCTTGTGTTACTCAACTATTTTTTGCCATCTTGTTTGGGGCTACAGAATTTTTTCTTCTGGCCATTATGTCATATGATCGCTATATAGCTATCTGCAAACCCTTACACTATGTTTCCATCATGAGTAGCAGAGTCTGTGGGTGGCTTGTTATCTGCTGTTGGATAGCAGGTTTTTTGGTCATATTCCCACCACTTTGCCTGGGCTTAAAACTAGAATTCTGTGACTGTAATGTCATTGATCATTTTGCCTGTGATGCTTCTCCTTTGCTAAAGATCTCTTGTTCAGACACATGGTTGATAGAGCAGATGAGCATTGCCCTCGCTGTGCTGACCACCATTGTGACACTTCTGTGTGTAGTCCTGTCCTATGTGTACATCTTCAAGACCGTCATGAAGTTCCCTTCTGCCCAGCAAAGAATGAAGGCCTTTTCCACCTGTTCGTCTCATATGGTTGTGGTTTCCATCACATATGGTAGTTGCATTTTCATCTATATCAAACCTTCAGCAAAAGATGAAGTGGCAATTAATAAGGGCGTGTCAATGCTTAATACGTCAGTTGCCCCCTTGTTAAACCCATTTATTTATACTCTGAGGAATAAGCAAGTGAAACAAGCTTTCAAAGACTTAATCAAAAGAATGTCATTGATCTCAAAGAAGTAAAAGAATGTCGAAGTTAAGTTTTCAATTTATCAGAATAGGCCATAAGCCCTGTAAATCAAAGTCTTACATCTTTGTTATTTTATCTCTCCCTTGTCCCCAGTGCATTAGAGTCCTGTTATTCTTGAATTAAGGGACCCAAATTAACTTTTCACTTTTTTTTGTCATTACAAATAAGCTTTCTCTAATGCAAACAATGTAACCTAATCACTTGTACCCTCATATTAATCTGAAATTTATTAAAGTATGCAACAATATAGATCTTAGTCTGTTTTGTGCAACTGTAGCAGAATACCTGAAACAGGGTATTTATAATTTATAATTTAACAGATATGTATTGGCTCATTATTCTTGAGGCTGTGTTGTCCAAGATTAATCTGCTGGTGTCTGGGAAGGGCCTCCTTGCTGTGTCATTACAGGGCAGAAGGTGGTGGGCACCAGAGTGAGCGCACTCGTCAAGCTCTTCACAAGGAGAGTGCTCCATTTGTGAGTGTGCAGCCCTTCACCCACACACCTTCCATGGGACACCGCCTCCCAACAGTGCTGCACTGGGGATCAGGTTTTACCGTAAATTTTGGAAGGGACAAAAATAAAACACCCAAATGATAGCATTAGTTATTTATAAATTAAACACTATACACAGGAATATTTTATGCTGGAGCTCATCTAAATCATTTAATTGGTGAATGGGTCTTTGTGCTTGTGGATCTAAAAAGCAGAACATTATGTTTAACTTTGGGGAGGGCGGTTGTCAAGTGATCCTTTACTGAACGTTCTCCTTTGTACTTTTTCACCAGCCAGACATCCCACATCACCACTGATGGCGGTGGTGGCATCAACCTTGCAGCCCACAGACTGGGCAGTCCCCCGGGTCTCCTTAATGGTTCTAGAGAGTTCTCTGACTAACGATTGGTGCCACATCTGTCTAGCAATGTCAACAATCTCATCAAAAGTTATATTTCCATTGTATTTAATGTTTTTTGGTTTCTTTCTGTCTCTTGGTGGTTCCTTAAGGTATTTGATGATGGAGGCAGAAGGTGTCACTTAGATCTGGGCCTGTCTGTTCTGGATAGTCAGTTTCACTGTAATCCTCAGACAATTGCAGTTGCCTTGTGGGTGTCATTACCAACCTTTTTGGGAGGCCAATCTTAGGCACCAGGGCAGATGTGGCACTGACTGCACCAGGAGGGCCCCTCAGATACATGACTTTGATCTGGTTGGGGTCGAACTTAGGCAGATGGTGGAGAGGGCTGGTGTCAGACGAACCCGGATTCACTAGGATCCAAGAAAATTGCACCTTGGCCTCCTCCGAATAGAAAGCAGAAAAGCTATGCTTAACTTTTATAAACTCTTATATTGTAAATGTACTTAATAAATGTGCACATGACTATATGAAATGTGAATATGGAGGCACATATTCAAAATATTAACAAGACCTATCTCTTGGCCATGCATGTTTTTGCATATATTTTATTACCTTATTTACTTCTTATAATTAGAATGAAGTAATCATAAAATTAATGATTGAGAGGTCCCTATTCATTTAAAAAGTTCTACGATCACGTCTTTTACACGTGCCCCATTTCTGATGCTCAAGTTCATTTCTGTCTCTGAGAACATCATCCTCACTGTTCCTTTAGGAGTATGTCTTTCCCCCAAAGTTAATCATGCAACAAATTCCTTAGTGACTCCTGAACCAGGGTCTCCAAGGACGTGTTTACTCATTTAGTTATAGATTGGGTTTGGTTTTGTTTTTTTAAGTGCAACATCGTGTAAGAGAAACTAATCAAGTTCTCTAAAAACCAGAGAGAGGTCCATAATTCTGAGCCTTTTTATTTAAGGAGAGTACAGGAAAATATTACTTAAGCTTAACATGAGACCAAACTATTGCTGAGAAAATTTTTGAAATGTTTTGGAGATAGAATGAGTGATTGGAAGTGCACCTACCTAACTCCACTGACACATCCTGGTCAGGTTTCCTCACTCGGAGGAATCTGGGGGAAAATGACTATCTGAAGGAGTAACTGTCAGAGGAGTAAGTACGTTCTTCTTTGTCCCTTAGCCTCAGCTTTTCATAATTCTAGAATGATATTTTATTCTGAAAGATAAGGTGACTTTGGTATTTTACGGAAAGGACCCTTAAGCAGTTAAGTAATTTTTGAAGTAATTAAATAAATATATTGAAATCAACTGACAGCTTGCTCATATATTAGTACTACTGAAGTTAATTCAGTGATTTTTTTCATAATTTTTTGATAATTTCATTCATAATTTTTTTGAACGTGTAAAACCAACCTTTTCCAGAATTTCATTAACAACTGGGGGGAGATAGATATATCTATATACATATATTTATATATATGCACATGTACATTTTATATAGGGTATCCATAAAGTTCATGTGAAATTTACCATGTTAAACTATTTTTAATTGCAACTTTATGTCCACCATATATATATACATATATATGTAATGCTTATATATAACATATATGTGCACACACACGCACTTTCTTCAATCTAATGATGGATTTGTTTTAATTCTATTCACTTAGAAATGTAGTAGCAATAATTTCAGAAAGATAGAAATCTTGCCCTTAAACTTCAATATCAATTAGTTTATCAAACTTGACCTCTTTGTGTCTGGGCAAGATAAATTCTCAGAGTCATGTTAAATAAAAAATGAATCAGAAAAAAAACATTTTTACAACAGAAAGTGCTATTCTGCAAACAGCTTGTCCATTGAGGAAGGAGAAGCGTTGAGAAGGGATGAATTAAGAGGAGAGAACTGGGCTGCGGATGTATTTTATTGCTATATCTCAATGTGAGCTGCTGGGATTGGTCCCTTTGTGGTCTTTAAAAATCAATTCTCAGGGACAAATCTAGTTCACTTTCTTTCTTTTTTTTTTTTTTTTTTTTTTTT